TTGATCTGTGGCACTGAATGATGAGCTACACGGGGCATCCTTCAAAAGCTACAATTAAGGATCCATCTAGCTTCTCAGCAGTTCAAGCTTGATTGAAGTCTTCTGCCCATTTGATTGACATTCATGTTTAAAGGGCATATATACAAAACCAACAGCCAACATTATTCTCAATGGACAGAGACTGAAACCATTCCCCTTACAAACAGGAACCAGACAAGGATGCCCTCTATCACCACTTCTATTCAACATTGTATTGGAAGTCCTAGCCAGGGCAATAAGGCAAGAAAGGAAAATCAAAGGCATCCTAATTGGTAAGGAAGAAGTAAAACTATCCTGTTTGCTGATGATATGGTCCTATACCTAGAAAACCCAAGGGACTCAATAAACAAAAATAAAAAATAAAAACTATTAAAACTAATTGAGAGATTTAGCATTGTGGCAGGATATAAGATCAACATACAAAAGTCAGTTGGATTCCTCCTCTACACCAGCAAAGAGATTGCTGAAAAAGAAATAAGGAAATAAATACCATTTGTAGTAGCTACAAAAAAATAAAATCCTTGAGAATAAATCTTACCAGAGACACAAAAGACCTGTACAAAAAAAACTATAAAAGACTACTTCAAGAAACCATAAGAGATCTACATAAATGGAAGAATATACCATGCTCACAGATAAGAAGATTGAACATTGTGAAAATGTCAGTACTACCCAAAGCAATCTGTACATTCAATGCAATCCCAATCCAGATACTATTAACATTTTTTAAGGATATGGAAAAACCAATCACTAACTTTATATGGAAAGGAAAGAGACCTCAGATAAGCAAAGCGCTATTGAAGAAGAAGAACAAAGTAGGAGGACACTCCTGGATCTTAAATCCCACTATGCAACCACAGTAGTCAAAACTGCCTGGTATTGGTATAATGATAGACACATAGAGCAATGGAATAGAATTGAGAACCCAGAAATAGATCCATCAAACTATGGTCAGCTGATCTTTGACAAAGGCCTAAAATCCACTAAATGGGGAAGAAGAGACTGTCTCTTTAACAAATGGTGCAGGCAAAACTGGATAGCCATTTGCAGAAAAATGAAACAAGATCTATACTTCACATCATACACAAAAACTAGCTCCAGATGGATCAAAGACTTAAATGTGAAACCTAAAACTATAAAGTTCTCAAGGAAAAACTAGGGGCAAATGTATGGACCCTAATATATGGCAAAAATTGACTATCAAGCATAACCCAAAATGCACAAACATCAGAAGAGAAACTAGATGAATGAGACCTTCTAAAAATTAAATTTTTATGTGTTTCCAAAGAGTTCTCCAAAAGAGTCAAAAGATAACCTACTGATTGGGAAAAAATATTGGGCAACGACATAGCTAACAAGGGACTTATCGTAGAATTTATAGGGAACTCCAACACCTCAACAACAAAAAGACAAATAATCCAATTAAAAGGCAGAAGACATGAATAGACACCTCACCAAAGAGAATAATCAGGCAGCCAACAAACATATAAAGAAATGCTCATGATCATTAGCCATTAAAGAGATGAAAATCAAAACAACAATGAGATATCATCTTGCCCCAGCACTACTAGCAAAGTTCAACAAGACAGCAAATAACAAATGCTGGCAAGGATGTGGTGAGATTGGGACTCTCCTACACTGCTGGTGGGACTGTAAAATGATACAACCACTGTGGAAAGCAGTACGGTGATTCCTTAAAAAGCTGGAATTAGAAATACCACTTGACCCAGCAATTCCATTACTAGATATATATCCTAAAGAAGTGAGAGCCAGGAAAGAACAGATATATGCAAACCCATGTTCATCGCAGCACTGTTTACAATAGCCAAAAGATGGAAACAACCTAGGTGTCCATCAACTGAGGAATGGATAACCAAACTATGGTACATACACACAATGGAATACTGTGCAACCCTAAAGAATAATGTAGAGTCTGCAAAACACTGCATAACATGAATGAACTTGGAGGACATTATATTGAGTGAAATATGTCAATCACAGAAGGACAAATATTGTATTAGCCCACTATTGTGAAAAGTCAAGGAAAGGTTTATATATGGAAGGAAATTTTCTTTGTTGGTTACCAGGGGTGGGAGGAGGAGGCAGGGAACACTGCTAGATAGGTAGAGACAAGTATTGATTGGGGTGAAGGGAAGGGCAATGTACCAAATATGAGTGATCAACACAGTGGCATTGGGAAAGAGGAAGACATAAAGAGGTACATGGGAGGTACTGACAACAAAGATGAACCCTTTTGCACATACAGTACATTGCCAGTGAAGGCAAACATTGATCTATATATAGCTGGATAGATGAGAGGACAGGCTGAACTATTACATATATCTATGCAGGGGGGAGTGTGCCCATGACTGTATACAGTTGGCAGACAATGTTTCTACAAGTATATTTGTATGTTTTATAAGAATTCCCAGGTATATAATAGAGCTGACAAGGGACAAGGTTGTAGTCACTTCTTGGCTACAGCCAGCTACCCAGAGGGAGCAAGTAGTTGGACCTGTGGGCTTGGGACCATAGTCACAGGGGACATCAAGCTCAATTGGTATAACATACTACACAAAAACATTGTTCCACATCCTGCTTTGGCACATAGTGACTGGGATCTTAAAAGCTTGCAAGCTGCCTCCTAGATGCAATGATGGGTCTCTCCTCATCCAGAGCAAAGAAGAATGAAGAAAACCAAAGACACACGGAAACAATTAGTCCAAGGAACTGGTATACCATGTGATCCTCAGCCTATATTGTTGTTACTAAAGTATACTATGAGACTAGAAGAACTAGATGGTGCCCGGCTACCACTGTCAACCACTTGGAGGGGGATCTCTGTAGGAGATCCTGAATAGAGTGGGAGAACAATGTGGAACAAAACTCAAAATCATAAAAAACAAAAGTGACCAGGTTTGCTGGTCTGATAGTGCCTGGTGGAACCCCTGAGATTATGGCCCCTAGCTACCCTTCAGGTCTGGAATTAAACCCACTCCTATGGCTTCCAGCCAAATAAAAGACAGACATGTGAGCTGAACATTTACATTAGGTAGATACACTCCTTGGAGAGATCAATGATAGGAGAATAGATGGGCTGTGTTTGCACAGGGAGACAGCTCAGGGGGCAGGAGTGCATGGGAAGGAAGGACACAGGGAAGAGGTGGCTATGGGGAGGAAGTAGGAGGAGAGCTGTTGTGTTGTGGGATATTGCAGTCAATGTCATGACACAAAGTGTATGTGAACTGTTGCATGGAAGATGAATTTGCTCTGTAAACTTTCAATCAACTTATAGTAAAATTAAAAAAAAAAAAAGTGTGATATTTACAACACAAATACCAACAAAGAGTAGCTGCTGAGTCTGCTAATGTACAACCAAAAACCTCATGGGATTGGGTTCCTTGGTGTGGTAGTTATGTTTGTGTGTCAGTTTGGCTGGGCCTGGTTGAGTGACTGGGCAGCTGGTGGTAGTTATTCCCCACGATGAGACTGGCAATCAACTCCATGCTGGGATCTACCACAAGCAGCTGAGTAGCTGCCTTTGGGATGTGGTCTGCTTCCTGTATATAAGGAGAAGCCTTGGTAATGGTAGCTAGCTTATGGCATGGTTGGACTCTACATGTAGCTGTGTCGTTGTTCAACAGCCTGCCATGCTCTGCCAAACTTGAGACTTTCGATGGACTTAGTCAATGGCCTGCCGTGTGGTTTGGTGGCATTGGGACTGTGCCTTGTTACTTGTCAACCTTGGGTTTGTCAGCCTCAGGAACCAGCAGCTGAGTGACAAAAGCCTCCAGCTTCAGTGGGCCGCGAGCAAGAGGCAGAGCTGAACTCCAAGGTTGCGGGGCTTTCACCCAGCCCCTAGAGCCTGGCACTCTGAACTTGGACTTAAAGCCTCCAAACTGTGAGAGAATAAACTCCTGTTTGTTAAGGCCATCCCATTTATAGTATATTTCTGTCAGAGTGGTGCTAGGTAACCATAGCACTTGGTTTCTAAGTTTAGGGTCATTATTATTTCATGGGACATCCTAGTTAACTGGCCAGTGTTTGCATAGTGCCTAGGACACGTAACTGCTAACCAGAAGGCTAGCGGTTCAAATCCACCAGCCACTCCTCGGAAGGAAGATGGGGCAATCTACTTCCGTAGTGATACTGCCTCGGAAACCCAAGGAGGGGTTGCTATGAGTTGGGTCCAACTCGACGGCACAAAACAACAACAACAGCTTGTTGCATAGTGCCTGCAGTCTGAAAAGCTGTCCAACAGCCATCCAAGGCACAGCAGTTGGTCTCTATTCACGCAGAGCAACAGAGGGGAATAGAAGGAGGATATGGAAAGTGTGGCTGACTATCTCCATGAACAACTGCCTCCTCTGCTATGAGACCAGAAGAACTGGTTGGTGTCCAGCTACCATTATTGATCATTTTGATTAAAGATTCTATATAAGAATTCTCATCAAAGGAGGTCAGAATTTCAAAATCTCAAGGACTCCAGACTTCCTAGAGCCATGAAAGTTAGATGAACCCCTGAACTATTGCCCTAAGATAATCTTTAAACTTTAAACCAAAATATTCCCTGAATCTTTTTAAAACCAAATAATCATTTAGGTTAACTAGTTAAAAAAAAAAAAAAAAGTCTGCCTTGACCATTATGCCCTTTTAAGATCTATGTACATGGGATCAAGTTGACAATAGTAAGCAACTTGAAGATCAGATAGGAACCTTAGGAGGCAGTGAGTTTATGTTAATGGGGGAGGAACAACTCAGAAAAGAAGGGTGAGAATGGTTGCACAGCTTGAAGAATGTAATCATTGTTACTAAAGTATACATGTAGAAACTGTTGAATTGTCATGTTTTGCTGTATATATTCTCAACAATTATGTAAAATTAAGTAAATAAAATTGAAAAAAATTATACTGGAGAATTAATTATGACATTTTAGAAAGATTATGTAATGCTCTAGTAAAATGGTTGTGACATGCAGTAAGTATTAAAAGCACGTTTTAGAATTTCATATAAATTATTATATATGGTCACCACCCATCTGTCAGTTTATCATACTGTGATAGCATATTGTTTATTATGATACTGGATGCTATGCCACTGATATTTCAAATATCAGCAGAGTCACCCATGGGGAACAGGTTTCAACAGAGCTCCAGGCTAAGACTAGGAAGAAAGACCTGGCAATCTACTTCTGAAAATTAGCCAATTGAAAAATCTATGGATCATACAGAGTATTGTCCAAAATAGTGCTGGAAAAGTGAGCCCCAAAAGTTGGAAGTCACTACACAATAGCTACAACATTGGACTCAACATGGACCATCAATCGTGGAGATGGTGTAGAAGCAGACAACATTTCTTCCTGTTGTCCATAGGGTTACCATGAATCAGAGACCAAGTTGAGAGCAAGCAACAACAATAACTCTGTACAGATTAGTTAGAAGGAAATGAAAAATGTCAGCAGAGGCTGAAATTTTTGAGAAGGGGTGTATTTCTTCTTTTCACAGTTTCCAAAAATTGTTATAATGAATATATTTACTTTTAAAATAAGAGCAATGATTGTAAAGTCTTTTTATATTTTTATCAAGAGAATTACTTTAAGCAAACAATTGCATGTTTCCTGTTGCTAATATTTTAAGTGGTTATATTTAATGTCCAAATTTCACTTTGTCTTTTGTAGGTCATCCTGAAATTTTTCCTGTGGTATTAACTACCAAGACCCAGGAAATATTTAACTGCCGAATAAATGAAGATATGACAGATGAACAACCTTATAAACTTCTCAAAAAAGAAGATATCATTGAGGACTTGCACAACAGAGCTGCAGTATCTGATTTCCACCCACTCAGAAAAATTGTACGGGTAAGTACAATGTTCTTTTTAATTTTTCATTTCTACCTCAAAAGATCCCTTTTCCTGCCAGATAATAACAAAAGTTAGAAAGAATGTTGAGTTCAAATCCAACCAAAACCAAACCAAACTCACTGCCGTCAAGTCGGGTCCAATTCATAGTGACCACTCTTTGGGTTTCCAAGGCAGTATCTCTACGAAAGTAGATTCCCCAACCTTCCTTCTGAGAAGTGGCTGGTGGATTTGAACCACCAGCCTTCTGGTTAGAAGTCAAATGCCTTAGGCACTACACCACTAGAGTCCTTATTTTGGGCAAATGACAGTTTGCCACGCCTCCTGTAGTGTCCTATCTGATGATCCTCTGTGAAAAGCAGAGTCCCAGGAGGAACTGGTTATCTTGTGCCACACCCAGAAAAGCTTATCCTTGCCCAATTTTAACTAGAAAGAAGTCTACCTTTATTATATCATATTTATTAATTAATAATTTTGGTCCTGATTTTTTCTCCAAGGATGCTATAGAGAACAATGCCAAATAAAAGTAATGCTTCCTTTTTACTTTTAGAAAAGAAATTGTGGTAAATTTCCCTGGGCCCACTGTGTTTTAAGCACTTTTTTTTAAGCTAATAAAATAATTTTGCAATTTGGGATTATGAGTGGCCATTCAGTGGTAGAATATTTGCTTTCCATTCAGAAAGACCTGAGTTCGATTCCTGGTTAATACATCTCATGCACAGACACCCATCCATCTTTGGAGGCTTATGTGTTGCTATGATGCTGAACAGATTTCCGTGGAGCTTCCAGACTAAGATGGACTAGGAAAGCAGTCCTGGTGATGTAATTACCAAAATCAGTCAATGAAAACCCTATAGATCACAAGGGTTTGACCTGCAACCAATCACGGAGATGTGCAGGACCAGACATTCATTCTATTGTGCAAGGGGTCCCCACAAGTAGGGGCTAACTTGACAGCAGCTAACAACACAATAACAACAGCCATAGACTAGCAGTATGGTTTTCTTTATACTCTATGATATCAATTTTGTGGGTCAGTGTCTATAAACTGAATGTCCACTGAACATTAACCTGTTTTGACTCCATTCCTGTAGGAATATCCTGGAGAGGAGCTTCTGCTTGTTTATGACAAAGAGTTCAAATATGGACTTAACTTTTATCTTATTGGAACTGAAGAGGGCAAGGAAAACTATTTTAAAGTAAGTATACCCCAAACCCTTATAATTTGTTGATTGTCAGAAGGAAGCTGTGACCCTGAAGGGAGCCTTTGGTGTGTTTATAATTATTCTCATTTATCAGGGCCCAAAGAATTAATTCATATGAAATGGCACCTGGAGTAGGTGAGCAGTAAAATCAGACATCTCAGTGTAGCAGATACCCTGCTTGTTTGTCTGTCATTGGCCTAGTAAGAAAGGAAATGGAAACTCTGCTCTCTGCCACTCCCTGTCCCATACTTCTGGGTCTCCTCTTGCCATATGTGTGGCTTCATTGGTAAGTTAATCAAACTCCTCTTTTGTAAAATGGAGGCACCAATACCACCCATTTCCAGAACCGTCTTGAGCATTAAATGGGCTATTACAGGTAAAGCGGTTTGTGTAGTGCCTGGCACAAAGCTGGGTGCTCCATAAAAGTTTTCTGTGACTATTTAAAAGCAAAAAACTTAAAAGGATGACTGGGCAGCTGAGAGGGAGGGAGGTGTCAAAGATGAACAGGATAATAATTTCCAAGGAAAGATACTAAGTTCACCTTTGAGGTGTTGGCATTCAAGGTAGTCATGACAAGTAATGGGGTTATAAGATTCGCCTTGTGATCTCAATCCTTGTAGGGAAGTGAATGGCCAGTCTATAAAAGATTTGGTCAGATTGAGTAAAACAAAAAGGTTTTCTGGGTTGGCCAATAAGCAAGAAAAATAAAGGAAAACCTTAGAATTTAAAAATATTTGACAGTTTTTTTAAATTAAAAATATTCTTTTACATAACCTTAAAGTTTTTAATATTATTTTTATGGTTTTCTCCATATGTTTACTTTTTTATGATAGTGAGATATTTCAAATATATAGAAAAGTACAGAGTAAAATAACAAATACTAACATAATTACTACCCAGAATTAACAAATGGTAATATCTTATATCAAAGCTTTTTAAAAATGAAATTAAAATATTTTACAGATTGTGTTCCTGTTCTTTTAATATCCATTTTCCTTTCTACTCCCTATAAAAACAAAACAAAACAAACCCATTGCCATCAAGTCGATTCCAACTTGTAGTCACTATGACTCCTCCCTGCTAGGAATTGTGGTAGTTCAGTTTGTGTGTCAACTTGGCTGGGCCTGGTTGAGTGGCTGAGCAGCTGGATGTAGTATTCCCCATGATGAGACTGGTAATCAACTCCATGGTGGAATCTACTGTGAGCAGCTGAGTAGCTGCCTTAGGGACATGGTCTGCTTCTGTGTATAAGGAGAAGCCTTGGGGAATGGTCTCTAGCTTATGGCATGCTTGAACCCTGCATGTAGCCGTGTTGTTCTTCAGCAGCCTGCCATGCTCTGCCAACCTTGGGACTTACAATGGACTTGAATTAATGGCCTGTGGTGTTGTTTGATAATCTTGGGACTATGTCAGCCCCAGGGTTACAGGTGAGGAGAGACAACGCAGGGACGCCAGAGTAGCAGGCCGGAAGAGCAGGAGAAAGGGGATAAAAGCCTTGAACCCAGACAGAAGAGCAATCAGCTGAAGGGATTAGGTGAGGAGGGGAAACTCAGGCCCACCCAGAGTAGCAGGCCGGAAGAGCAGGAGAAAGGGGATAAAAG